GCTGAACCTGTGATCCAATGCTCTGGTGTCAAATGCCAGGAGTGAAAGGTAAGAAGAATTCCACATAGCACAAGCAGCTGTCTGTATTCAATCAACACCTGTCCAGCCAGAGGTCATTGTACCTGAGTGTCCAGGAGGCTTTGGGAAGACCTTGTGAGCTATCAGATTGGGGGGCAGGAGGGTACATGTGTATAGGCAGAAAGTAGTGCTGTCCTCTGACATGCTGAAGAGTTGGTTTGTTTCAAAAACATTAATATATTTTGGAAAAGCAAAAGAATGTCACTTCCTTCATTCACAAGGCCAAAACAGTAGTATTTCTGGCACAGACTAGAGGCAGAGCACTCTATAAATACAAAACTACTAGATTCTATGCAGCAGGAACCTGATCAGGGCCCCCTTTTAATTTCCTGACATAAGCTGGCCACTAACCCAATTACCCAGAATCCCTGGAGGAGCTTTCCGCTTTTCCATCGCGCACGGAGAGAGTGAAAGCATATTGCATGGCCGTCAGCCCAGCTCTCACTGAAATCAAATTTCTTTCAGAAAACACTTGGGAAGAGGCAGGCAGGGCTGAACAGGGAGGAAACAGCAGGAGTGGCTAGAGGGTGGGTAAGTCAGGAGAGGAAAAGGTGGAGCTGGCAGGGACAAACTGGCTGGGGCGGGGGCGGGGTAGGGAGTATGCAAGTCCAGAAGCTGAACTGAAGACTTGGGGGTGGGGGCGCCTGATAGATGCAGCAAGTGGATTGATTTTCAGAGTTCTTCTGGTCTGAAGACTAAATCAGCCCACACTTGAGATGCCAGGGGACTGTCTCATTCCATTCTGATCCCAGAACTTAGAGAGGATCAGCTTAAGGGAACGGCATCCCCCATAGAGTACCCCCAACATATCCAAAGGAGATCAATGGGTCCTGTCAACCTCACTCAACTCCGTGGGCAACTGAAGAGAGACTATCAGAACCTGAGTGAATCTAACTCTAGCTGAACTGGCACCAGGGGGCTGACACACCAAGACACTGCCATGGCTGTCTGACAGGATTCTCACCTTTACCTGGTGAACAGCAGGTATCACTACAAGTGAAGAAAGGTCCAGCGAGAATTATGTACAGGAACCACAAATGCCAGTCACCACCTCTGAACCTAAGTCACATTTTATATCCAATTCTACACACTAAGAAAGGACGACTTTCCCTGAAAATATGGATTGCCGTTCAAAGGAACTGCATAAAGACTTTGGGACATCACCTTTTCATTCACTGGCTATTCCAGTCATCCTGGGCAAACCAAAGGAAGCCATGTGGGAAACAGGATCCATCTCCAACCAGCTAAGGAATGGGACAGGCTTTGATCCTGTAACAGAGTATACCTCACATCTGTCGTCATCCCTAGTAATGGCTGGAGCCCTTAATCATGGATCAGTGACATGCACTATTTTACCAAGAAAGTTACTGGAGACATCTTGAGCTGCTTTAGGGTGCTGAGCTAAGAGTACTGGGAAGGGCACACTAGCCGAGGGAGGTTAGAAGCGCCCAGCAATTAAGCCATAAGGCAGGTTGAAAATAAATTAACTGTGTGTGTGTGTGTGTGTGTGTGTGTGTGAGCTTAAAGAAGGGGTAGCAAAAAATACTCCTTACAAGCTGCTGGGTAGTTAGAAGATGGAAAATATGGTTCTGACATGTAGAACAGGGATGGGGACAGGGAGGAGAATGTTTGTTTCCCAGCTTCCCTGGAAGACTCGGGAACTCCTGTTAGCCAGCTGACCGTGAGAGCCTAACACAGGGAGCAAGCGGCACACCAAAGTGTGCAAGTCAGAGTGCAGCAGGAGCCCAGGCTAGCCCCCAGGGACTAGACCTTGAACATGTAAGCAAGAAGGGACACCCAAACAAAGCAGGAGCTAGGACAACTGCCAAAAACTCTTCCTGGCAGAAACCCAGACTCCTGCAGGCTCCTCCAAGACTGGTCCCAGTGGGGCTTCTGATGCCAGGTATCACAGAGTTCTATGGGGACCCACACTAAGCTAAGAGCTCAGCTTTGCTCACACTCAGGGGGCTTCCTGTCAGTTTTTCTCTTTCAGATACAGGCCTGCCAGCATCGGAGGTGTGGCGGGATGTGCCCTGGTGACTGTCTCTTCCTCCCTCAGGTAAAGCTCCCAAATGGCTGAATCAGGCTCAGTATATCATGAGGACAGGAGACATCTGGCTGCCATGAGGGAAGCCACTCCTGGAGGAGAGACAACTGTGGGATCACCCTGCAAGTCCTCCCACTTGGTCAGCAGGCATCCTCCCAGCACACCACTCCCACCATTAGAGCCCAGCATTATCCATGGGCTTATCTTTCAGGGGCCAGCCCAGGGATCTTCCCCCACTGCCCCTACAGACCTTCAGTGTGCTTGGTCATGCCTCTCCTGTCATTGGTGAGACGAAAGAGAATCCTGAGCACTCCAGCTGTCAAGGGACTGAGTAGTGACTCCCCCATTCCTAGCTTCTGTCATGGGGAGGGGGGGAGGCAAGGGGAGAGGCAGAAGGCATGAAAAAGGAAGGTCCAGACCTGGGCCTGATCTTCTCAAGCTAGAGGGTGGCTGAAGGTGCACCAGCCATCTCTCCAGCCCCTGCAAGCCCCATTAATCATCTTAAAGGAGAGAGGCTGCCTTTTGCCTTGATTCCTAAGGTGTGGAAAGCAGGCAGAGAACAAGGCATACTCCAGCCAAGGAAATATCTGCACAACTGGCTCTAGTCTGAATTGGTGTCTTACTCAGCTTCCAGAATAAGATGGCAGTTCTATCTCTGTGGCTTAGGAGGAAGAAGTCTCTTCAAATCCTAGAAACCCTCAGGCTCCCTGTACCAAAGAACAAGTGTAAGAAGACCAACCAGGCCTGCCTCTGTGGGCCTCCTCATCTGAGAACACCAGGAGGCTTGGCAGCAAAAAGACCCTGGTGTAGGAGGCAGGGGATCAAGTCCAACCTCCATCTTGGTCACATTATATACAACCAAGATCGAAACTGTGCCATTGAGTGAACATGGTTGTTCTTCCATATAGGCCCAACACAGCCTATTTCAAAGGAGAAGGAGGCTGTTTCCTCCAGAGCCCTCTGAACGGCAGCCAAGACGTCACCAAGGGGTTAAGAAAATGACAAAGAAGGGAGTTGTGGTGAATAGTTTTATGTCAACTTGATACAAGCTATAAAGTTATCTGAGAGGAGGGACCTCAATTAAGAAAATGCCTCCATAAAATCGGGCTGCAGGAAAGCCTGTAGGGCATTTTTCTAATTAGTGATTGATATGGGAGGGTCCAGCCCACTGTGAGTGGAACCATCCTCGGGCTGGTGGTCCTGGGTTCTACAAGAAAGCAGGCTGTGTAAGCCATGAGGAAGAAGCTAGTAAGCAGCACTGCCTCCGGGTTCCTGCCCTGTTTGAGTTCCTGTCCTGACTTCCTTCAATGATGGACTACAATGTGGAAGTGTAAGCTAGATAAACCCTTTCCTTCCCAAATTGCTTTGGTCATGGTGTTTCATCACACCTCAGACCCAAGAGGCAATTGGGATCCACCCGGAGAGCTTCTTCATAGTTGCAGATGCTAAACTTAGCCCAGGTGAGGAAAGGACCTGAACATTTCCTTAACACTAGAAGGCCCGCCCAAGCTGTCTCATAGGCAAAACAGCTCAGAGGTAGACACTTCTCCAGGGCACAGGAGAGGAGTGGGGTAAGTTGCCAGCCTGCTGAAGGTTGAGCTAGGTTTGGGAGGTGAGCAACCCCACCTTGCCCTTCCCAGGGAAGACTGCACCCCTCAGCATGCCCCCTTTCTCTTTGCCTGCCTCGTTCCTCATCCCCACAGACTTTTCCTGCTTCCTTCCATGTTATGAAGGATCAAGGCTCAGAAGATGATCTGCAAGAATTTACACTACCTCTCTCTGAAGGAGATACACGTGTGCACATGCAAAGTTGTGGATACATGCAACGGACACACATACACACACCATTCACAAAATGGTACTAAGATTCAAACCAGGCCCATCCACAGAGATGGTGAGGAGAGAAGAGTCTTACGGCATCTTCCGTACAATAAGCTGGACATTACCTTACAGTTTCTAGGAGCCATTTTAAAGTAAAAAAAGATGCACAGGATGCTAGTTTCACTGTGCTTTAGTTAACTCAACCTAGGACCGGGGTTCGGTTTCCAGCACCCACTCCGAAACTTACAGGAGATGGATGCCCTCTTCTGACCTCCAAGAACACCAGGTATGCACACATATACATGCAGGCACTCATATGTACACATACACACACACAAAATACAGACGTGTAAAGTTAATTTCCTAAATCTATGAAGGATAAAAGCTATTCATGGGGGTCAAAGATATAAATAAATAACAGCTGGGCAGTGGTGGTGCACGCCTTTAATCCCAGCACTTGGGAGGCAGAGGCAGGTGGATTTCTGAGTTCGAGGCCAGCCTGGTCTACCGAGTGAGTTCCAGGACAGCCAGGGCTACACAGAGAAACCCTGTCTCAAAAAACTAAACAAAAAAAAACCAATAATAATAAAAACAAACACCTTGGCTGGAACTAACAAAGCTCAGTTGACCCTTGTGACGTGGTGCAACTCCAGAGTGTGCAAGGGATTACCTGCAAACCTGAAGGAGGACCAGGGATTCTAAAGTCACTTGCCAAGATGGTTGGTAGGGAGAAAGGAGAGAAGCAGCCAGTCCAAATGAGGACTTCCCAGAGTGACAAGCTTACAGCTGAGGCTCCAAATAGGGTCTAGAGTCCCAAAAGGATCCTTGGGGCCTCTGGACTACCATACTGCTCGCCCACAGCTTTCCAAGAAGAGATGGCCATCAGGCAGCTATTTTGCAAACCAGCCTGTAGCTGCATTTACACACATACTGCCCTTGGGAAGGTCCTTGATGAGGCCCTCAGCCTGTAGGTACCCTTACACAGACCTGACTCTCCCCACCAAGACAAACTGAGCTGATCCCCGACCCTGGTGCTTGGCTGTGGGCCTCTTACCTTCCTTCAGCATCCCCACTTTGAGGCATTTCATGAATCGGCAGGCCTGACAGGATTTGCGCCTCCGTTTGGTGATCTCACATTCGTTGGTGGCCGGGCAGTTGTACTCGATGTTTCCTGCAACAGAGAGATGGTTACCAGGTGTCTGCGGTCCGTTTAGGACCCCGACCAATTAGATTCACAATCTGGGGATTAATTGGTCAAAGCTGACTTGCCCCACCCAGGTTTGCATAGGGAATTGCTTCTAGAGCAGGGACTCTAAGTGGTTGTCAGAATGCTTCAAACTCTCCCATGTCAGTTCCAGCCTGTAAGCTGGGTAGGCCAAAAAGCCGCCAGGAGAAAAATGTTCTCCCAAGAATGGTCTCTCATGGTTCTGAAACAGTCACAGGATTGGAGGAGGGATGGCATCGAAATATATTGAGCCAGCATTTTACCTCAGGAAAACAGCCACCATGCAAAGCTAAACAACACAGACCACCCCAGCAACTCCAGCCTCTACCTTGCCCCAGTCACTAGGAAAAGCCCAGGAAATTGTGGAAGGACCTGGACTCTGCCTCCCGCTGGGGCCAGGCCACACCTAGCTCCCCTGACTTTGAGGAAACACTTTCCTGTCACCAAGCCTTAGTTCTCTCATCTAGAAAACCATTGTTAGCTCCTAAGGGAAGGGTTAAGCAAAATCTTACGTGAAAGATCACTGTAAAAACTTGTAGCCTTGGCTGGCGGTGGTGGCAAACGCCTTTCATCCCAGCACTCACTCAGGAAGCAGATCTCTGTGAGTTCAAGGCTAGCCTAAGTTCCAAGACAGCCAGGGCTACAGGGAAACCCTGTCTTGAAAAAAATTGTAGCCTAGACTGGATGTGGTGGTACCCACCTTTAATCCCTGCAGAAGCAGGCAAATCTCTGAGTTTGAGGCCAGCCAGGACTACACAGTGAGACCCTGTCTCAAAAAAACAAAACAAAAACAAAACATAAACCAAAAGAATTGTAGCCCAGGTTAGAATTGACAGTTTATGTTCCTGTCATTTTTTTTTTACTATTATACATTTGATTATTTATTTGTGTGTGTGTGTGTGCGCGTGCGTATGTATGTGTGTGTGTGTGTAGGTCAGAAGACAACTGTCGAGGAGACGGGTTTTCTCCATCCACCACAAGGTTCCTGGGGATTGTACTTAGGATTTCAGGCTTGCCAGCACACTGCCTTCACCCACTGAGCCATCTCCCTAGCTCTGCAATTTTAGCACCTGGGTGGAAAGTGGAGGCAGGAAGATCAGGAGTCAAGTCAATCTTGTCTACAAATCAAGTTCAAGGCCAGCCTGAATTAGGGAGACCCTGTCTTTAAAACAAAATAGGGCTGAGGACGTAGCTGTTATAAAGTGCTTGCTTGACGTCACCAAGTCTGGGGTTTGGGTTACACCGCATACACCAGGCCTGGTGGTGGAAGTAGAGGCAGGAAGATTAGAAGTTCAAGGTCACCACTGGCAACAGAACAGAATTGGGAGGGCAGCCTAGACCATAGACATACAGTCTGTCTCAAAAAAGAACTACATAGTGTGTCTCATATAGAACTACAGTTAAGTATGGGAAACCATTCTATTTGTCCCAGCACCTGGGAGGGTGCTCAATGGTTTGAGGGCAACCAGAGCTACATGTCCAGACTGTCTCAAACTATTAAAACAACAAACCACTTCAGCACACAGGTTGGTTGTTTTATAAACACATGTTCATCCTGAAAACATGGCTACCTTTCTGACACAGGGACAGTGTCTATTCTGGCTTCCCTGCCTATTCAACATCTATTTAACAAATGTTGGGGGTGTGCCTACAACATGCCTGGTACTAGAAGAGGAATAACAGAAAGGCACCAGGTCGTCATCCCATCCCAGAGGGCCAAGGAGAAGCTGGGTACCTGTCCTGCTCCACATCTACTCACAGTAATAATATTGAGGGTTTATCATGCACCTACCATGTGCAGCCTCTGGATCAGCTCTCTAGACCCTTACCATAACTCTGAGCTGGCCTATCAGTACCTAAGTCACAGACCAAGAAATGGAGACTCAGGAAACCAAAGTGAACTGCCTCAGTTCCAGAGCCCTTATACCTCCTCCCCTGTACCTCCCAAGGAGCTTGAAGAAATCAGGAAGTACCTCACCAACAAAGGCAGGCTGGCTGTCGCTAACCCACAGCTGAGGTGGCCTGGTGGCTGGGAGGGGAGGTTAAGTGTCACAGAGCATCCTACACCACAGCCTCCTGGTGTGGGATACGGAAACACTGTTAGGTCTAAGAGGCCGGGGCCTGCCAATGATGAAGGGCTCTGAAGCAGTGTCAGGAATGGGCCCAACTGACCACACTGCAGCGGCACCACAGCATAGGCCAGGGAACCCGAGACCCCTGTGGACAACAGGACTGTTTTCTCACACATGTTTTCATTCCTCAATGTGTGTGTGTGTGTGTGTGTTGCATGATGTTGTTTGTGTACGTAGGTGTGCACTGTTTATGTGTGACCCCGGGTGCCTCCAGTGCATGTTTGGAGATCAGAGGACAGCTTCTGGTTCCTTCCTTCCAATATGTGTGAATTCTGAGGCGCGAACTCAGATCATCATCAAACTTAGCAACAAGCACCCACCGAGCCGTCTCACCAACCCCTCTAATGTTATTCCTTAGAACTCACTTGCATAACTTCATAGAAAGTCCGCTGAGGCATGGCAGCAACTTCCATCATCATATAAACGTGTTTTCTGTTTGTTTTCAGTTTTTCAGTAATTTTAAATTTTTGAGATAGGGTCTCACTCTGTAGCCCAGGCTGGCCTCAAACTCAGTTCTTGGATTACAGGTGTTGAGTGTCTACCCCAGGCTATAAATGGTAATATTAAAGATAAACAAGAAGGGGAAACGCATGCTCAGCTGATGCGTCAGTTCCATGTGTGTAGGCTTCGAGGCTCTGTAGGCTGTCCCCTATCTCAGCCTATCATCCCCACAGCCGGCACAGCCTGAGCCAACTCCTAGAACTGGCAAACAGAGGCAGGTCCACCAAGTGCCCTCTGCCCCCGGCCTGCAGCCACCAATCCAGACCCAGCTAAGAAGGTGTCACTTCTCTGTGCTGACCACCCCAGGCTCCCCGGCTGTCCCTGTCCTCTATTTCCTCGTGCAGGCCAGTTCCTCTTGGCAGATCAAATACCTGACACTCATAGGCTCACAAGGCACGCTAACCACTAAATAACCAGGGGTCTGGTGACACAGCTGCAACCCTGCTCAATGTAAATTGTCTTTAACTTAACCAACCAACTTCTCCCTTCTTACAGATGAGAGCCAGGGATAATGTGGCAGGACGATCACCTCGGGATGGGGTAGGTTATACAGTGAGAGTCTGGGGAGGGAGGGTTGTTGTTAGCAGAAGCAGCCTGGAAACTGAACCCAGGTGGTCGGCTTGGGGTGCACAGTGCAGACCTCTGTGCTCTGCCCTCAGCTGCACTGTGGCCAGCCAGCCCGTGTGTGAGAGCGGAGCAGAGCTGCGGGTTATTGCTCAGAATGGGAGCAGGGGGCCCCTGGGGAGGGGAGTTCTCAAAAGCAATGTGGGTTTGACAGTGTTGTCCTCCTAAGGCAAGGGGACAGGACAAGAGTACATCCTGGGGCCAGAGTGCTAACAATGCTCTTAACCTTTCAGGATATACGGATGTGCACACATGCCCGCAGACACACAAGAGTGCCTAGTGCCTCTGTGTGTCCCTAATTCTACTTACTTATTTGGTTCAATTTGTTTTATGGGCCCGGCGGCTCGCTGCCAGCAAAACCAGGCTGGTGGCCTCGTCTTGTAATTTCTCTAAGTGCCTCCTTGATAAAGTGATGAGATTAATTCATCATTGTTCCTGTGGTCTCAAGGGGAGTCTAGAAGAGCTCAGCATAGGAAGGAAGCCATCGGTGGGGCACACACGCGCGCACACACACCACCATCAACTCAGTGGTGACCAAGTTAGTGAACAGACCCTCATAGGACTGGGACATTAGCCAACAGCTAGCACAAACTCAGGTCCCAAACTGAATCTCCTAATTTGTCCGAGCCTCAGTTTCCTCATCTATAAAATGGGTGTAGTTTCCATCTCAAAGTTGGATGAACTCGGCACACCAGGACTGAGCAAAGCACAGACAGACCCTGGCATGCAGGCAGGCAAAGCTGGCAAACTAAATCATACATCCAGGCAGATCTGCTGGAGTAGATGCAGAGGACACCAGCATGTAGCCTGTCAGTGCCACACAGAAGGCTGTCCTGTCCACCGAAGGACACTTGAGAGCATTGGAGTCTATCTATGGACGGCTGGACCTCAGCTCCTGTTTCTGCCTGAGGAACAGGAAGGCAGATCCGGAGCTGAGCTGGAACTCTGTGTGACCCTGAGGCAGAGAGGGGTAGTCTCTTTGATCCTAGGCCACCCTCAGAAGGGAACCCCAGGGGAAGCCCCACCAGCTGTCCCTAGGCTGTAAGCAAGCCAGAAGCCTCATCCCTCAGGCCTGGGTGAGCTGTTAAGCTCAATCAGTTCCAGGGCCCCAGCTGACCTCAGCGGCTGTGGTGAGCAGCTGCAGCGAAGGGCCGGGCTCTCATTATCTCAGTCCTGTAGGACAGAGACATCCCTTTCTCTCTGTGTGGTACCCTGTCCTCAACCCTCTACCCTTCCCTCCTCATCCACAGCTAGACAATCTCAGTCCTGTGTGGACTCCCCGTCACCCAACTGCAGTGCCCTGCACTGGGACAGATGGTCTGTCCTGGACCTGCACGCTGCCTTTCTTTGGGCTTCTCAGCTTTCTCAAACTGAAACCATCCTCACAGCGTGCTCCTCCATTTTCCTCGGCACGTCAAAGAGAGTGACTCTACAGCCTGCTTCTTGGGTTCAGCACTGAGGAAGTTTCTGGAGTCTTACACAATTTGCTCCCAAGGCTTTTTTCATCCTCCTTCCTCCCCGGAGGCTACATTCCAACAGGCAAGTTCTCAGTCTGTGTTGTAATGCAGTGGCCTCTGCTATCTCCGTCCCTTCCAGTCAGCCCCAATGAAACACAAATCTCCATGCTTTCCCCGAAGCTTGTTAAAGGTTGATGCAACAGCGAGAGTTTGGGGATGGGACAGGTAGAGA